AGAAACATGTGTCCAGTGACTGGATTCATTTACCTATATTTTAATAAAAAATCCCCTCCCCCATTTGAACATAATTTAGAACCAGCATAATAAAATCCCACGGTCAAGGATGCTCTCCGCCAAGTGCCTCGCCAAAGCTGAATTCCCCCTACCTCACTCAGCCAGTTCCCGCTGCACTTGGGCAGATCTTCCTTATGTTAAACTACAGACCAGACTGTGAGTGCAGACAAAAACGAGTCCCTGCTCTTAAACCTGGTTGCTCCTCAAGTGTTGGTAGAGACCCAATTCTCCTCTCCAGGATGACTGCTGCCCCCATGCCCAGCTGGGCCCTAGGACTCTGCCCTGTGGCCCCCTCCTTGTGTCACCAGCCGGCCCCAGATCCCTTCCCTGGAGACTCCTCCACCCATTCATAAAGCAGAGATCCTGGGTGCTGGGTCCTGGGCTCCCTTCTCGAACCACTTGAAAGCCCACGGGAGGGGCAGAAGTCCTCTAGGAGGAAAGCCGCGCCCTCCGCCTTGATCAAGCACCGCCATGATACCCACGGTGCCACCTGTTCAGGTGTGTGGGGGCAGGTGTGCCACGGCAAAGCCAGCAGAAACCTCGGCCCTCCCGGGCTCCATCCCCGAGCTCCGTCCCGGGCTTTAGGTGGGGCACACAGGCCTTCTCCTGTCCCTGAGGGTTTTAAGCTTTCCCTCCTGCTGTGCTTTCTCTCCTGAGTCCCTTTATTTAAATATCTTCCATGTGGTGCTGAGGATGAACCCAGGCCCTCACACTTGCTAGGTGAGCGCTCCACTGCTGAGCCCCAGCCCCAGCCCCTTGGATGCTTTTTGAAATCCCCCCAATGAACACACCGAGCAACATCGAGAGCCCTGAGGTCACCGTGGCCTTAATCCCAGGCCTGGATCCTTGCTGCTCGGCTAGCAGCCCCTCTGCAAGGTGGCTGTTCTCAAGGAGTAGTTATTTTGCCACGTAAAATAGCTCGAAAGGCCGACAAGATTTCCTCAGAAGCCCACACAATCCAGTTTCCACACAGCAGCAAGAAATTCCTTCTAGAAACTGCAAGTGCTTGCTCCTCGGCCTCCCTCATCCTGCTCCCCTGCTACCCTCCTGTTCTGCTCCTCCTCGAGACACTACACGTTCAGTGGCCCTGCAGGGACAGAATTGGCGGATGGTGTGTGGGGGCGTGGGGTGGGTAGGGCACTCCAGGAAGTCAACACATCTCCAGGGCGATGTGGGGAGCACCCAGTCCCATGACTCATTTCCTACTCCTAGGGAAAGTTCTGTGGACCTGCTTCTCTGAAGATGCAGTTTCAAACTGGCCCTCTTCCTTTCTGGCACCCCACCCTCATCTGACTCTGACTTTGACTCCCTTAACCCTCGGTTAAGAAATTAACATCAAATAAAATTTACATGCCTTTTCACCCGCTACTCTGTCTTTTCTCAGTCTAATTTGCACACCCCCATCACTGAACCTAAGTGAGTAGAGGAGGTTTTTCCCCTCCTCCACGGATACAATGCTGTTGGCTTGGAAGATTTCCTCCAGAAGGCAGCCAGGAGCCCAGAGGTCTCACATTTTCATCAGCTCCCGGGAGCAGCTAGACTCTCTTCTGTGGCAGTCCTCTGCTCTCTTTGATCTGGTCCTGGGCTCAGAATGACCCAGATCTGAGAGTGCTGGTTTCCCCACTCTCCGTAGCATCCACGGTGCTGGCTCCCAGGCTCTCCCCATTCTGTCTCCTTCCTCCCCTCCTCTCAGCGCCTACAACAGTGCCGCCACACTGCAGGCACTCCAGATACTGTCCCACTAATGAACAAGCCCTTTCTGGGAACTCTTCCTCCTCTCGGAGAAGCCCACACTGGTCCTGAGCTGGTGTGCCTTCTCGTAGGACCTGGAAAGAGCTGACATTGTAGTTCTCCTCATCCAGGAAGATGCACATCAGCACACGGTCACTGTTGGTCCCGGGGACTGTCATCCTGGGTCCAGGCTAGGATGGAATCCCAGGAGTTCTGCTCCTCCAGGTGCACGAGGTATGAAGTGGCCTGGGCTCTGGGCACGGTGTCCCTGGTAAGGAGGAGGGAGGATGACACGATGGTGAGGGCCTCCCTGGGGGCTGGCCACCCGACCCCACCCAGGGAGCCGAGCTGCTCTCTTCCTACACTCGCAGATCTTCTTCTGCTGGGTCAGGAGTAAGGGCCTGGCCCTCAGCATGGATCAGCGCAGTGGCCAGGCAGTGATCGCCTGGGAAGACCCTCTGAGGGAGGAAACTCCAAGTGGGTTGTTTGAAACTTGCCAACCACTGCAGTTGGGAAAAGTCTCTCAGCTGTTTGACTCTAGACTCGGGAAATGGATATCCTAGCGGGTGCTGGAGACATTTCAGAATGGTCTAGAAAGAATTCTTCAGGCACTGGGGCGTGCGCCTTGCCAGAGCTCTTGCCCAGCCTGTGCCCGGCTCCGGGTTCGAGCACTGTAAGAACAAAACAACCTAAAGGTTTGGATCTACTGGTAGTAATGATCATGATAATAAATTGAATGTTTTCCCCTCGACCTATTTACATAGGCTATGACAAAATCTTACAGATCAGATTAGATTACAGGAGCTCTGATCTTTATGCTAGTTAGAGAACACCATAGCAGAGCAAAGACAGCCTTCCTCCATCCTCTTATGTTCTGTCCCTGGGGTATGTGAAGGAGACGGAGGGAGACAGATTAGCCAGAGAAAAAGCCTCCATATTTATTTCAATTTTTATATGCTCAGAGGCCTTCACAGAAAAGAAACCAAGACTCAAAGATGTGGTTGGACTGGGCGGGGGGGAGGGCTCATATATTGTTTTAACAAAGAGAGATGAACTGTGGAGAAGTGATAAGGGGAGAGGAAAGGAGTGTGGGCTCTAGGAGCAGTAAATACGGGAGGATACCCCGTGAGGGAGCTGATGAAAGCCAGGGCTATCCTAAGGTTGGTGCAGAAGCTCCAGCGCCGTCCTGGTAGGAGGCTTCTCCCCTGTTGATGTGCAGGCTTTCTCTCAGTTGCCTTCAGCTTAAACTAATCCTTCTGCCCTGGGGGAATGTTTTAGGGGGGGCATATTCTGGTCCCCTTTAATGTTTTTAAAGACATTTAGTGGTTCTTCCTTAGAAGTGTATGAGAACCCCTGCTCGAGGAAGCAGAATCAGCCCCTCCTGGCACCGGGGTCTATTAGGGAACCCACAGGGAAAGGCCCTTTGGATCATCGCTGACGTACACGCGAGGGCTTCTGAAATCCCGACAAACATGCTTTTCTCTTATATAAATTAAGTGCTTCCCTCTGATCTTTCTTGCTCCGTGAAACCCTTTATACAACAGAAAGGTGAATTATTCCACACTTCAAACTAGCAAGGTTGAAATACATGATGATTTGTACGTGTATAAATAAATCGTGTGGCTGTCATTATCGGGGAAGGTGGTAAGAGGTGTAAGAGGAAGAATCTCTCATTTCTAGGTTTCCTAAAAAGCCGTTCCTTGAGTGCTCTGATGGAGGAAATGAGGCTCCCTGCCCTTGAGGGGCTTTCCCCGCCCACCCCAGCCTCCACAGCCTGTCTGGGGACTCAGTCCCAGGGTCCCTGACTGGCTCTCACCAGCAGGTGTATCCCCAACACCCAGGCCTCCGCCCTTGAAGGCTGCATAAGACACAGCCACAGAAGTGAATCGCTGGCAGCGAGCGTGGCCCCAGGCCTGGCCCCTTCCTGCAGCCCCAACACTCTCTGGTCTAGGACACCAGGAGGGAGCTGGTTTGGAACACCTCCTTCACAAAGCCCAGTGTCTGCAACACGGCCTCTCGAGCAGACCCATCCCATCTCCTGAAGTGTAAAGGCAATAACGTGGAATTAACTTCATAACCCGCCTGAGCAAATGAGGCTGAAATCACAGAGATCCTTGCAGTAGGCCAGGTAGAGCGCAGACCTGCTATCCCTCTGAGAGCACTTCTGCCTTTTGAAGAGTTTTATGACATCTGCTGCTCAACAAGGAACACTCTACATTAATAAAACATAAAGGAACAACCCCAAGAGGAGAAAACATTGTTCTAAGCAGCCCAGGTAGAGTCCAGGTTCAGCAGGAGTCCACCTTGCCCACGCGTCGGGATGGGTCAGTACCTTAGATGACGCCCAGGGCCAGCACAAGGAGGCAGCTCTCAGCAAGGGTCCAGCTGCCTGAGATGGCCCTGATCCTCCTCCAGGGCAGGAGGGAAGGAGGAGGGGACTGACCACCTGAGGCTGGCTGCTTGCAGAGGTGGGCAGGTCCCGGGTTCCCAGGCAGAGGCCGGTGGGAGGCGTCCAGGCTGAGTGGGGCCTGGCTGGGAGCTCTTGGTCCTCCTGACAATGAGTCCTTTCTGCCCAACCCTCTCTTTCAACGCCTCTCCACCTGTCCTCCTGATAGGTCCACGCTTCAACCACTAACACACACACCCAGGGTGCCCTCGGGTGCTTGTGAAGTGGCAGAGCCCAGCCTGTCACCCTAGGCTGAGAATCTTTTATTATGGCTTGTGATCCATCCCCTCCCACCCACGGACCCATTTTCCAGAAAGGGTGAAAGGAAAACCAGACGGAGGGGTGTCGTACTCAGTTCCTTTCTTTTGAGGGATCCTGCTAGCAAGGGGGTGTTTCAGCACAGAGCAGAAAGAGGCGTGCCAGGCGCCCGCCGCGGACTCTCGGAATAACTGGAAAATAAGTTCAAAAGGCCCCAAAGACTCACAGGACAGACAGAGCGTTGAGCCACTCTGGCAAATGTAAGAAAACCAAGATGGGTGTACTCAGTGTTGAGTTGTGCCTTGTGGCTGAGAGTCCCCAAAATGACCCTCACAGGCTCCATCAGGCCCCAGCAGGCCAGACACATGGCAATGAACACTCAAACATGAATCCAGGGGTTTTGCCAGAATTGTCTTCTAGGACTGGGAGCTCTGCCCTCTCTGGGCAACCTCTGGGAGACTTGTGTAACTCACTGTGGCTAATACATGCGGCTAGGGGAGAGTCAGCGTGTACACACACTCACACAAAAGGTTTCTGAGGCAGAGAGAAGTCCCATCAAATGCCACAGTTGGAAGAGAGGGAGTGGTCCCTCATGGGCCCTCCTGGGGTGGCTCCAAGTCCTTCTCAATGCCACAGGCTGTGGGATTCCATGTCACTGCACTGAGACCCGAAGAGACAAGTCGAAGGCCATGTCTCTGCCTGACCTTAAGGGTGAGTCAAAATCTGAATCATGCTTTTCCACCAAAGTCTACCGACGGGGCTCTGCCCACAGAGGGGGAGTAAAGGGGTCTGAGGCCGGGATTCTAGACTTCCATTGTCTGTGAATCCCAAGTGTCTTTCTTGAAAATGGTGGTAGGAACCACAGCTAGACAGGAGCCATTGGGAAATAGAGCAAAAGGGACAATGCCCAGTGTGTGTAAATGTGTCTCAACTGCAATTTTAAATCTCTCTCTCTCTCTTTTTTTGCAGTGCTGGGTTTGGAAACCAGGGCCTCGCACATGGCTAGGCAAATGCTGTACCACGGCGCTGCACGCCCGGCCCTAAACTGCAAATTCTTGGGGATGGGTTAAAATCCTTTCCACCACTAATTTTTGACAGCCCCAAATGTCTCAGCTGCCCACACCTGGTGTCAGGACCCGGGGTCCCCTCCTGTCCATCAAAGGGCAAGGCAAGGGCAGTCTAGGTCAACTCCTAGGTGAACCTATTTTTCTAAGCTATGCCCTCAATAACGGACACCACCCACTGGCCCTTCCGGCCTGGGCCTGTGTAGCGGTGGGGTCTGATGGGGACGGCAATTAACCGGCTGCTTGCCTTCTCTGTCACCCATGTGTCTCATGCAAATTTTTGATATTTTGTTCAGAATGAGTTGTTTGCATTAATCTGAATTTTTAAAAACATTACACTAAAATGTAACTTATCGAGATCACTCGGGGTTTCGCTCCCCCTCGCCTCACCCGGGTCCCCCATACTTGGGGTTTTGCAGCTGGGGGGGGGCACAAGAGCAGCAGGTTCTGCTGCGACCAAAATGCACTGCGGGAGAGGACGGTGGCCACAGCCCCGTTTTGCTGCCCCTGGCCCCCGCGCCCGTCCGCGGCGCGGTCTAGCGCAGGCGAAGGCCCAAGTCCCGAGTAAAAATAAACGCGGGCTATAAATAGGCCTGTAAAAGTCTTCAAGGCACCCGCGCGACAGGAAGGAGGTGCCACCGCACAAGTGCTCACTTGAAAACTTCCCAACGCGTAAAAATAACTTTGATAAACGCGGGAAGACGCCTGGCTCAACGGAAACGAATGGACCCGCGCGCAGAGCCCACTTCCTGCGCCCGCGCCTCCCTGCGGTCTCGCCTCGGGGTCCAGCGTGGGCGTGGCCCGGTGTGGGCGTGGTGCTGGGGCGGGGCAGCGGGCGTGGCCCGGTGTGGGCGTGGTGCTCGGGGCGTGGCAGCGAGCATGGGCGGGGCGCGGTGTGGGCGTGGTGCTGGGGCGGGGCAGCGGGCGTGGGCGGGGCGCGGTGTGGGCGTGGTGCTGGGGCGGGGCAGCGGGCGTGGGCGGGGCGCGGTGTGGGCGTGGTGCTCGGGGCGGGGCAGTGCTCGCTGCGCTCCAGCAGTCCTGACTCACCGCCCCACGGGTACCTTAAAAAGGCAAGGGGTAAATGTCCCTCCTTCCCACCTCCTTTGCCTTCACTCCGGAGAGCATCCCTCTATCACTGCAAGGCTCACCTCTGGGCGGGAGCCTAAAATTTCAACCTGCTTGGCCTTCCCCTCCGGCTTGGTTTTTTTGTGGTGCTGGGGATTGAGCCCAGGGCCCTGCTGTGAGGCAGGCACTCTACCAATTGAGCTATAGCCCTATCTCCTCCCTCCCACTTCTTACCCTCTCTTTTCCTGCCTTTCCTCCCAGGGAAAGTCGGTTCTGCCCCCAAGCTCGTCCAAGCACCCACTCTTCCAGGTATCTCTACAAATATCCCCTCCCTCATGTTATCCGCGCCTGCCTCTTCCTCCTCTTCGCCCTCCAACTTCTCCAAAGCGTGGGCCTCCAGGTCGCCCCACTCGGTCCTGCCACTCTCCTCAACGTTGTCTTTTTAAAAAGTGGGGGATTTTTGCATTTACATGATTTCAAACTTAAAATTTAAACCAAGAACACAGAGAAGTGCAAGTTTGAGACCAGCCTCAGGACTTTAGTGAGGTCCTAAGCAACCAAATGAGATGTTATCTCAAAATAAAAGAATAAAAAGGGTTGGAATGGAGCTCAGTGGCAAAGCCACCCTGGGTTCAATCTCAGAACCACCCCCACCCCCCAAAAAAGAATGCTGTCAGGACCTTTGTGCTTTTTCTCCTCCCAAGAGCATATGCCACACTGCCTTTGCCACTCTAACTACATCCAAATGCGTGGGCATCCATGGACTCTGCTGTGGATTCAGACACCTGCAGATAGATACAAGATACTCAGGAAAAAAATTTCATCTCTACTAAATGTGCATGTCATTATTCCCTAACCAATACAGGTCGACCATGGTATAAGCAACGTTCACCTGTATAATGTCTGAGAGGCTGTCTGAAGGTTTAAAGTGTGCAGGAGAATTGCGTAGGTTTGTGCACCTCCTACACCACTTTATGCAAATGGCTTGAGCATCTCAGGCTTTGGTATCCTCAGATGGAGGGGTCCCAGAACCAGTCCCCGTCGATAAAGAGGGGTGGCTGTATACACAAGAATTGCAGACGTCATGCTCATATTCGTAACTTCTCAGTTGTGTTTTTACTAACAAAGGTATGCATTGCAGAGTTAGGAAAAGACTCTTTTAGAGATTTCCCTGAGGTGCCCAATTCAATGACCTCTCTGGGCTCATTGGCTTGCCCTTCTGCTCCTGGTGCTGCTGTCTCTGTCTCTCTTTTCCGTTGTCCTCTTTCAAGGGCTCCTCTGAGGTGGGTTCTGTCAGGTCTTGCTTCCCGTCTCTTTTCGGCCTCTCCCTGGAGGAGGCCTGCCACCCACTGCCCTGCACCTCGACAAGCTCCGACCCCACCTGGGTTTCCCTGACTTTCCAGGAACTAGCACCGGAATTCCTCAAGGTCCTTTCACTTGCCGCTATGAACTCACCACTCTAAGAACTGAACACACCCCGCCCCAAACACAACCTGAAACCTCTGAGCGAGCAGGGCACCTCCCTCAGCCTTGAATTCTGTCCCCTTCATTGGTCACTTGCCCTGTACCCCCCACCTCTTCCACGGCCTTGAGCTCTACCCAGTCTGGGCTTCCATCTTCTCTTGAGAGCGGCTCCTTCGCCTGAACTTGCTCCCTGGAGCCTGGTTGGCCCATTCAGTCCCCTTGCTTTCATGAGGGTCTCCTCTGACCTGAGCAGATCCTGCTCCATTGAAATCCCTGCCCTGGAGTTCCTTCCCCTGAGCTCCAGAGAACAGATTATTGGGACCCTTGAAATGTATTCAAATGTGGGGGCAGGGGAGCACTTTCTGGAAAAAAGGTTATACCTTTTATTGAAATTTTAAAAGAATTTGTGTCATCTGTCTCCCCAAAGAAAAGAAGCAGCCCATTGCTGTTAAGGTGACGTTACCAGTGTTACAGTCAAATTCCAAAGCTATTTACTTTTAGCTCAATCTGGTGTTCCCAGCTCTGGTCCTGTATCTTCCACCAACAGTCAGAGGGTCCAGCCCAGCATTTAGCAGACTTGCTGGTCATGAGGATGATGGGGGCACTAAATAAAATTTCCTCTTCCTTGGCTCCTGCCCTGTGGGTTCAGATCCACAGGGTCTGAATGGTGGTGTTGGGTAGGGGTGGTGTGAGCCAGGAATCTGGGCACATGACGGAGCTTCCGGCCTTTCCCAGGGATTTGCAACTCTCCCCCTTTCCCCGGGAGAAGTTCAACTGTTCCTTGAAGGCACAATTCAAATGTCAGCCCTGGGACAAGCTTTCCTGATGGCACTTGTGTTAAAGGCAATGCTGACATCCCTGAGGCCCTGAATGCAATCCCAACTGAGATAGCCATTCATTCCCCACTTCCTGTAACAGCTGGAGGGTGTGGGCTGGCCAGGAAGCTCCTGTTCCCTGTCAACTTCCAGGGACTTCTGCTCCTCCCTGTGATTGAAGGTAGGTCCCCATTAAGCAGCCCTGGAGGAGGAGAGAAAGTAACTAAGGGGATCATGCTCAAGATTTAAGACCCTCCCAGGAGGCTGCACGGCTCCTCACCTTGCCAGAACCTGGCCAGATAACCCTGAAGTTGCAAGGGAGGCTGGGAAATGTAGTTCCAGCTGGTGGTCCTGCACCCAGCAGGACCAGTCACCAGGGAGAGGAAACAAGTAACAGATATTATCATGGTCATTTTCCTACCCCACCTCTTTTTGTTTTTCATTTTCATATTTTACCAAGGCCAGGACTTGGCGGGGAGCAGGAAATAGAACTGAAAGCCACATCTCACCACCGACTGCTTTCCACGGCTTGCCCCATCCGCAGGCCAACATAGGTTCTGGTGGTTGTTGCTTCTTACACGCCTGCCTGGCCCGTTCGTGTGTGCTTAACAAGTGTGAGGCGAGGTCGTGAATCAGGGATTCTTAAATGAGCTTCTGGGAACTACACAGTGCCCCATCATCGGATCATGGCAGACAGTCACTTTGGTGGCCCTTTTTGTCATTTCCTGTGTCTGCTGAGCCGTGAGTAGCTCTCAGTCACTGCAAGAGGCCAAGGTGAGTCTGGGAGCCGCACCAGCGATGCCACCATGGGCCAGACAGACCCTCGCAGGGGAACATTCTGTTTCCCACCACTGCTACCCCAGTTTCTTGCCTTGACAATGATTCGTCGTGATCCGCTCTTCCCGCAGTGATCCTGTGCCTCCCCGGCCTGGTGGGAGAAGGGACAGCCACGGGGGGCCTGGGGAAGCCTTTTCCCAGTGGAGGGAACCAGCCCAGAGTGGGGACGAGCTTGGCCAGTCTGAGGTTCCTCAAAGTAGCCAGTGCGGCTGGGACAGAGGGCTGGGGAGGGACGGGCCCTCTTGGCTGGGAAGGTGAGTCGTGCTGAGCTGTGAGCAGGGTGGCGGTACAGCTTGATTTAGATTGTTAGGCAGTTCTGGGTGCTTTTGTGGAGCCACAGCGGAAGGGACATGATCGGATGACTTTTGAATGGTCACCAAAGAGCTGGCAGAGGTTTTGCCCAGGAGATGGTGGTGGAAAGGAGAGGGTGACCCAGATCTCGAGGGCGGTCCCCAGGCCTGGCTGGATGTGGTCTCTCCAGGCAGCTACCACCTCCCATGGCGCTGACGCTCCCTTTCTACTTCATCACTTATGGGAACTTCTCTCCAAGGGCACCGCTCTGCAGCTTGAGGTGGCCCTCCAGCCCTCCAAGGCGGCTCCTGATCTTGACTGTGCAGATTATACTCACTGTTTGAGTAGCAATCACTGTGGAGGATCACAGACATTGGCCCTGCTTGCATTCGTCTTGTTGGGGGGACAGAAAATAAACAAAGATACAGAGTAACCTAAAGAATGACACCTGTGAAGGAGAGGTACACAGTTAAGGAGAGGTTTGAGGCAGCCCTGAGGACCTGAGACTGGGAAGGAGTGGGGTGGAGCAGAGTAAAAGCACATGCAAAGGCCCTGGGGCAGGAGGAACAGGGCTCCTTCTAGGAAGCTTTGCTGAGCAGATGGCAAAGAAGGCAGGATGGCGCCAGTGTGGGTGATTTTTTTGGTAGCAGAAGTCAAGGCAAACTTGGTGACTTCTGTATCATCTGTGAGGATGAGACAGCAAGTCAGAAGGTTGAGAGAGGAGAGACGTTTAAAACATGCATTTCCCGGGGCTATGGCTCAGCTGTAGAGCGCTCCCCTAGCCTGTGAAAGGCTCTGGGTTCGATCTTCAGCACCACATAAAAATAAATAAATAAAATAGAGGTATTGTGTACACACACACACACAAAAAAAGATACAAAATGCATTTCCCAGAACATTTAAAAAATGCATTTCCCAGTATAATACTGGTTTGGGGAAAAGTTCTGTGGCTGAAAGGCATATTTGGCCTGGAGATAAGTTTTATTTGAAGCGGATGGTTTACATAAAAGATCCAAGTTTCCAATCTCCCTGCTTAGCTCAAAAGAGAGCACACAGTCAGTCTGACGTTGATAGGCACTTATGACCTTGACACCTTTGGACAGGATTCCCGAATCATTCCAGAGAAAGGAGGAGAAAGGCGCAATGCCCCAGAGGCGGGATGCACCAAGGACTTCAGTTATGATTTTAGCCTCATGAAAATTCCAGGGAAGTCCAAAGTTCACCAAAATCTGCCGTAAACCAATTCAAAGGAGGTCTTCCATACCTCTAGACCTGGGGACCCGCACCTGCTACACTTTTGTCTTTATTTAAAAAAAAAAAAAGAGGAATGACTCATTATGCTAATGCAGATGAACACAGATGACACCCCTGTTTATTTTTGTTATTTATTTATTTATGTTCTCAATTCCCTTGAAGCACAAGAGAGAGAGAGAGAGAGAGAGAGAGAGCTCGCGAGCAAACCCCGCCCACCTCTTCCTTCTTTCTTTTTAAGTTCACTGTGGAGAAATCGCCACATTGTAAACTTGTGGAGGGCCCGCCAGTTAGAAGAAAAAGGTCTCTATGACCTAAGCAATGCCCGTAAGAAGCAGAGCTAATAAAACATGGAGGAAGAGAAGAAAACATGGAGGGAAGAAGGTGCAGAAGTGTTTTAAAATTAAAATAAAATTTCATGATGAAAAGATCACATTCCAACCCAATTTAAGAGGTGGAAGAGCAGCAGAGGAATCAGGGCACAGAAATTCAGATTTTTTTTTTTTTTACCCTCAACAGGACCTAAAGGTCTTGATGTCTGAAGAACCGGGAGGAACCGTGTTGATGCTTAAAGAAATCCCACCCCCAGCCCAGGAATCCCTACCTGGGAATTTCTACCCAGGACATAATTTGAATGAAAATAAAAAAAGTGAGTTTATACATGAGCATGGGTGGATGTTTGCTGCTTTGCAATTTGCAACATTTAAAAGAGGACTTTCTTGGGGGGGGGGGCTGGAGTAGCGCATCACTGTGTGGATCAAACGGTCAACCGCAGTGGGGCTGGAGGGAGGCCCGTTGGTCTGAAGGAGGAGGGGGCCTGAGGTTTGGGAGGGTGTTGTCGAGGGATGTTTAAAGAGTCATTAAATGTATATAGGGAGAAGGAAGGAAGATTCTAGAATAAGACTCAGCCTGGGGGTTTGCAGGTTATCCAGCCTGGGTCTGCCTATTGATGAGGGCCTGGGTGAAGGGGCACAGGGCTCGGGAGCCTTAAGCCATCATTTGCATTGTCCTTTCTCTACAAAGCCAAATAGCTGACGTGTACTGAGATGAAGGAATTCCTTACCAAAGCGAGATCCCCGGGAGATAAGGTTGTGTAACACATTTTCCTCTTGTATTCACATATCCGAGCAGTGTGTCTCTGTCTGTGTTCTGCTGCTATAACAAGATATCAGAGTGGGTAAGCTATAGACAGTAGTGTTTGCCTCAAGGTTCTGGAGGCTGGGAAGTCCAAGAGCAGGGTCCAGCTCCGACAGGGGCCTGCAGCTTCATTAGCACAAGGCAGAGGCCGAGGGGCACAAGGGAGGCAGGGAGAAACCAGCCCACACTCATCCTGTCTATTGGAGCCGCTGCTGAGATCATCAACCCACAACCATTCCTGAGGGCCCCCAAGTCCTAATCTGTTCTTAAAGGTCTCACCTCTTAATTCCATCACAATGGCCATGACATTTCAACGTGAGCTCTGGAGGGTCATTCAGACCACAGCACCACGTCCATCCCTATGCTACCACGTACTGCATTCCCCTGAAAGCCACACTTTTTTTAACTCCCTGTGATTGGACATGGAATGTATTTCCAGGTTGTCTCTAATCTCCTGCTTTAGATATTTTTATGCCTTAGTCTCTGCTTGTTTATTTTCTAAAATTGGAATGACTGGGTCAAAGAATGTGCCCAATCTTCCGTTTTTAGTAGAAGCTGCAAATTATCTTCTGAAACATCCACCAGTTTATACGTCCACCTTTTTGGCTTTTCCACCTATTTCAAAAACCCTGCGCCCCACGGCAGGCAGTGTAGGGAGCAAGAGGAGCAAAGGGAGGGAGTGGGGGAGCCGCAGGGCAGGTGCAGCCCGGGGACTCTGCGTGACTGCTCTCTGCCTGCGGGGAGCTGGGGTGAGGCGGGGCTCTGCCCAGCGTACCAACCCTGGCTCCCTGGCCTTAGGTGAGGCTTCCTGTCTCCAAACTTCTGTTTCCCCATCTTTAACCGCAGAGGAGCGTAGGGCCATGTCACCGGTTGTCACGGGGAGGCATGGCGAGCCCTTAGCCAGCAGCGGGCACACGGCAAACCCTCAGGCCTGGCGCCTGCCCTCCTTCCCCACGATGCCCGCACACTCTCTGAACCTCGGCATCTTCGCGAGCCTGGCTTTCACAGGGACCTGCGCCTGCAGCGCCACTCGGACTGTCAGCACCCCAGCTGGTGTTTGCGGGGGTCACAGTGCCATCCGGTCTTACCCAGGTACAAGCTCCCCTGCCTGTGGGCCCCTGTCATGCCCTCTGTCCTCTGAGGCACCGGTGAACACCAGAGCACCTCCCTGTTAACTGGGCTTCCCGCAGTCCCTGTGTCCCCTCTACGGGTGTGGCTGGGGTCCGAGCACGGCGTCAGTCCTGGCCTAGCAGCCCCCGTGCTGTTACCTCCCTTCCCTGAGACTCAGTTTCTTCATCTGTGAGATGGCCGATAGCAGACCTGCCACTTAAGGTCGTGACTGATGGAGGAATGTGCTCAGCACGGTCACACGGGGCTCGGGAAGGGGGCTGGGAGGAGCCTCGGGCTGTTATGGTGGCCGTCTTGCTTGCTCCCGCGGCCGCTGACCTTCGAGCCCTGTCCTGTCCACTTGCAGCTCTGAGGAGGCCTGCTAAGGTCCTCACCTTCCACCTGTGCCGGGCCAAATTCCAACATCACCCCAGGGTGACCTTTCCGAGGCTTGTCTGGGGCGTGTCGCCCTCTGCTCAATATCTGGACTTGTCCTAGCGGGGTTTGAATCTGGCTCCAGGGTCAGTTCTAATGTGGTCATTTGGTCATTTCACAGCACCCCACCCCACCGTCCCTTCCAGCTGTCCCCAGGCTGTGCTCCAATCTCCCTCTCCTTTCCCACCCGTCGGTGAAATGCGCCCAGCCCCTGGACAGAGGCTGATTCTCCAGGTCCCAGGGGGCCCCACCTGGTGCGGCAGGCATCGCCCCTGCCCCTGGAGCTCGCCCCCCCCCCCCACCATGTGCCCTGGAATTCACTCCCTGTCCTCTGAGCCTGGTCCTTGGTGTACCTCATGCTCCTGAGGTTCTGTCTCCATGTGACACTGGTCCTCCTTGAGGGCAGATGTCCCCACGTTCACCCTCTCATCGTCCCCCTGCCCCAGCTCTCTTCCCAAGCTCTTGACGTGTGCTCAGGGTCCTGTCCATAGACGACATTTTTCTAGGATTCAGATGTGCAGAACTTTACCCCCAGACCAAATGCTTGAGAGACATGGGCGTTACCCTTCCTGTGACTTACTCCAGAGATGATAAGGACAAAGAATTTCACACATGGCAATGCCTGTCACCCAGAATGGGTGTGTCTGTAGATGTGCGAGTGTGTTCTGGAACAGCAGGACGGGCGTCACATGCCCGAGGAGAGGGTTTCCTGGCCCTGGAGGGGTAGGGACAGCTGCGGTGCTTGCCTGCTGGTATGCGCTCTGCTCTGGAGGGAAGGGAGGCCCTGGCCCTGCGCTCCCGTCCTGTCCTAAAGGCATGTGGCTTTCATGTCAATTTGTTTGGTCCTGTTCCGCTGTCATGCAGCATGACTGGAAAGGAAGTGGGTGGTTGACTTGCTGCTGGGAGCTAAGGAATGTCACGTCGCTCCAGTGTGCTTCACATTCCCAGAAATACACTGAAAGGAGGAGGGTGACTCAGAGTCCCTGACTTTCCACAGCCCAACCGCTGGGCCTGGGCGGTGCTGAGGAGGACGGGAACACGAGGTGCCCGGACGGTGCCCCCACCCGGGCTGCTGTGGCTGAACCAGGTCAGCTCAGGGGTATCTCCTGGCTGGAGAGGGCCCTGGGTCCACTGGTGCTTGCAGGTTTCTAGCTGTCCCCAGGTCCTGCCCAGGGATGTGTCAGGGAGGAAAAGAAGGTGGTGTTGGGCCAACATGGGGAAATGTCTGACCGCGGTTGTGATTTCCCGCTGGGCACGAGTGAGGGAGGGCCTCTGTGCTTGGACCTAGCCTGGCAGTACTAATCCCTCTTCTCCGACCTCCGAGCTTACGCTCCCTGGCTCTTCCTCCAGACCCTCCCATGGCCCCCCTCCCCCCTCAGAAAAACATCTTTCCTGGTGGAAAGGCCTGGAAAATCATTTCGAGGGCAAGAATTTGGCCATGATCCCTGAAAGGGAAGCCCAGGGTTTGCAGGGGTTTCCAGAGAGAAGCCACCTGGTGCTCTCTACCCACCTCTGGGCGCCGGGCCACCCGGCTAATGAGCCATGAGATGGGTCCAGGGACCAGCCCGCCCTGCCAGAGGCCGCCTCACCCCAGCCGAGGATTCCCGCTGCTGGCCCGTCGGTGCGCCCTGTTCCAGGGTCGGCAGCCCAAAGCAGGGCTGAGCTGGGGCACCCTGGGCTCTGTCTCCAGGCTCAGGCCCCGTGTGTTTACTCACCAGAGAGACAACTCCCACTTCCCAAGGCTGCCAATAGGAACCTTCCATTCAGGCGCGCCAGCTGGGGCCTAGGAGAGCCCTGAGCTTCTCCCCAAGCAAAACTGGTTCGCACTGAGGACACCGGAAGGAGGCAGGCGGGCGCCGGCTCCAGTCCTGCACCCCATCTCCTCACCTCCCACTCGCTATCGCTGAACCATCTTGCCCCGTGACTCACCTGCACGGGCATGTGGCAATGGCACCTGGGGGCGGGGCAGAAGCCACACAGGTGCGGAGCCCAAGTTCTAGGGCCCCGGGGCCCCCAGACCTCGGCTGGCTGCTGCTCCCGCTTCCTGGCCATCTCGGCCTTCACCCTCTGCGTCCGAGGACCAGGAGTAACAACAGCACCGTCTCCTAGGGCTGCTCACTCAGGCACGGCTGCCACCAGGTGGTGCTTCCAGGTGTAGGCGCCCCCCACCCCCAGGCTCAGGGCTCGTGGCCTTGAGTCTTGCCCTGTGTCTCTGAGGGTTCATTCCGTCAGCCCCGCTATACCTGAGTGCTCAGCACCAGCTCATTCTGGCAAAGAGCAGGGAACTCAGAGTCACTCGGAGACTCAGCAGACATGAGATGGGGCACCTCTGACACCAGAAGGGGCCAGCTTCAGTGGAAAATGGGGAGGGACCAAATGAAAGATTCAGATGATGAGGGGATGGGACTCCTTTCCACATCTCTCAGGAGACTGCTATGCTAAGACGTCACAGCACCAAGGGATTCAGTCCCCAGTACCAACACCCATTCATACACACACACACACACACACACACACACACACACAGATTAATAGGTACAAAGAAATCCTACCAGTCTGGGTTGTGGCTCTGTGATAGAGCACTTGCTAGCAGGCCTGAGGCTCTGGGTTCGGTTCCCAGAACCACACACACACACACACACACACACACACACACACACATATTTCTTAAAAGAGAAACGTATCATTTGCCTTCTAACCTGGGAATTCTTTCAGTCACAGCTAAGCTAGAGTCCTCCTCCAAATTCTTTCCCCCCTGGGGCTCCTGACAGTGGGGACTGGAGAGGCCCCCAGAGGAGGCTGTCCCCAGAGGCTGCAAGGACTGAGGCTGACTTGCTTCCTCCCCTGTGTCTGCGTCTCTGCCACCCCTGGAGTCATCGCAGGTACGTGAGGCTGCATGCACATTTCTGGTCCAGCTTTCTTGGCCTGTGGCCAGTGCAGATGAGGAGACCCTGCACTCAGAGGGGACCCTGAACTCAGAGGGGACACTGCCCAGGGATATTAAGCTCTGCAGTGGCCACAGGTACCCCAAACAGAGTCACAGCAGGGCTCTGGGCATCTGGGATGGTCTGCACTCCCAGAGAGCTCTGTGAGGTGCCCCATGTCCTAAGAAGCACCCCATTAAGCAGCAAATCTAAACGATCCTGACAGGTCAAGAGGGAGACCCTGGAGGAGAAGCAAAAGGCCTGCCTCCTGCTTTGGAAGAGTCCCACAGCTGGGGACTAGCAGTGACACAGTGAGAAGAGCTGGCTCGACTGGGCCTAACTCCTCTCCTGTGTCACGTCTCACCTCTGCTGGAGACACATGGACTCTCTGGGTTCTGCACTTGAGATTTTGTGCATTACAGAGCGGAGGACGAGCTCCCTGTTCTGCAAGGACACTCCGAGGGACGGAGCGAGTCCAGGTCAGTGTAGTACTATGATAGCCCAGGGCCAGCTGTCACCTGATCCCAGTCTTGACTCCCTCCCCAACGAGAAGAGATAGGACAACATGATTTTCAGGATCTTTTCTAGTTCTGAGAATATCTGTGATTCCTGGGGCACCACACGTCTGATTTCTGCTCCTGCAAGCCCCGTGCTCAAACAACAGGGGCTCCTCCTTGTCCCTGAGAGCAGGCTGCGGAGCCTGTGCTCATTTGGAAACAAAAATTTCTGAGTGGCGGTTGGAAGCAATGGAGAGGGGGGCATGTGCTGAAGTGCGGTTTTGTCATTGTTATTATTTCTGTACTGCGATGGCCCTGATGTGCTGGGTCCCAGGATGCAAAATTGCCTTCGCAGAGCGGGCGTGACAGGGATTTCAGAAATTCTGTTATTTCAGATCACCAGGAGAAGGGCCAGGAGAGGGGCCAGGCAGTGTGGGGAATGAAAGTAAGGGAAATATAATTGCACAAAAAATAACAAAAGGCTTTAAAGAATGCCATACAACAGGACGGGACCTTGAAATCCTTCTGGTCCAGTTTCCTAAGACAGCGAAAATAGCAATGAAGGTGCAGTCGTCTCTTAATATCCTACTAAAACCCTCAGACGCTCAAATTTCCTATGTATAAATTGGCACAGCGTTGCATAGAACCTCCACACGTCTGCAGGACACTTTAAATCATCTCTAGGTTACTTACAGCACCTAGTGTAATGCACATGCTGTATCATAGGGTGTTGTGCTGTATTGCTTAGGGAATAATGACAATAAAAAGTCTAGATGTGTCTGCTATAGGCATGATTTTTCTCCCCCCAAATACCCTTGATCTGTGATTGGTTGAATCTGTAAGCGCAGAACCCTCAGACACCAGGGCCAGCTTGAATTTCCTCCTTTACTCTGAATGAAGATTTGGTGTCAAACCCAAGATCCCTTAAAGAAAGACAGAAGCTTCAACTTGAGCTCTCTTTGGCCCTCAGGAATCTCTAATTTTGCAGCAGGTGCAGTAACTGGGGTGCAAATAGTTGATGAAGAGGAAGTTTTCTTCCTTTTCAAGATGCAACTGGGTAACAATCCCAGGGATTAGTCAGGAAGGATCTAGCTAATTCCGTGGTCAAAAACTTCTCCCACTTTTCCGGCACATTTTGGAAAAATGACTAAAATGTTCTGTACATCCATTTTCCCAAGTAGAAATTCAGAAAAAATTATTTCAACCTATTTTATAGAAGGATTGGAAGGATAACACAACCCGGGATTAGATGGAAGAAACTCTTGGCTCCGATGGTCCTGTCCTGGGGAAGATGGCCGGGCCCCAGGGAAGCCCATGTTGTGTAAGTTGTGCCTCTAGGACAACTGGTCTGATTAGAATCTATTATCAGGGCATTGGTAAGTGTCCCACGTGGGCCCTGGAGTGAAAGTGTAAGGGGAGCGGGTGGCCTGTCCTCACCCCAGAGCCAAGCTCTCAGCCCTGTGGGCCTCAACTGGGCAGCCAAAGCCCCTGTCCTCTCTCAGCCCACCGCAGAAAGTCTTTTTATTTTACCACACGCACATTTTCTTCCCTCCCTCGGCAATGACTCAGAGCACTTTACAGCTCGCAGTTTTAGGAATGTTCTAGCTGTTTCTCATTTTAGGGAGGGAGCAGGTTCTGGGGCTGAGCGCGACCTGATCTTTCTGAGTCAGATCTCCTCTCAAGCCAACCTCAGCCAGCTGTTGCCTAACGACACTTGTTGTGCGGACACCGGACACCCGTGAGGACATACACAGACCCAGAGGAGGGGCCCGCATCGCCTCTGGGTCGCATGGTGTGGCCTGTTATTAAATTTTCTTCTCTTTCTACTTTTCAAACTTTTTTGTTAAAAACTAGGACACGGACCCCACATGAGCCTGCGGCAGGAGCTTCCATTCTGCTGTGCATCTTGTCCCCCTGAAGGTCTGGGGGCAGCAACTTGCAGGGAGCTGCCATCTGTGACAGCGATGCCCTCTCCTGAGGGAGACGCCTGCCCGACAGGTAGGTAGGTGTCCACTCTAGAACAACAATCAAGGGCAAGTCAATACATCAACCAGCAACAGTCGTCGGTTTCCATTTTCAAGTCTGACTTGAAAACGTGCCTGTACTTTACTGAATGCCCTTCCGTGTGACTGGCAGTGCCATGGGCTCACTTCACCAGGACCACCAGAGACCCGAGGAGGGAGTCATGCTAAGACATTGCAGTAGCCACGGCACCACCTGGCCTTGGGAACTTCCCAGCTCCTGTATGACCTTATGGACCCACAGTCCTATCATTGAACACAACGCCCATATGCAGTGCTGGACTGAGTGGCCCTGAGGGTCTCTGGTGGTCCCTGATCACTTTTCCCACTGCAGGCCCAAAATGTGCACTGGGCATTCCTCCCTGGCCTTTGTTGTTTTTGTAGAAGGTTCTCAGCTGGCCCAGTGTAGCCACATGGGCCAAATGCCAGAGGGCCAAGCTCGGGACCTTCAGTCTGTGGACAGCAGAGAGCAAAGCCCGAATCCACCACTGGCCATAGAACTCGGCCATTTCTCCCATTAGCTTGTTCAGTCCTCCGGAGAGCCCAGGGAGGAGGCCCCTGACTCCCATTCACAACCAAGGGGAAGGCGGACAACCAAGGGGAAGGGTAGCAACTTCTCCAGATCCCCAGGCTTCTTGCTGTTCCCGCAGAGGCCACTTCAGAGACGTCATCTTCCTGGCAGATGATCGGGCGAGGGCTCAGGGAGACGTCAGGCAGATTCCTGACCCTGCAGGGTAATCGGACTCGCCTGAAGGAGCGAGCAGACAGCACTTCGCAGGCCTCGGGCCTAAAGGTACAGTCAACAGGATGCTGAGCCCTGGAGCCCTTAGACCTCAGGGTCTCCTGTGCCACTTGCTCCCTGTCTTGTGCCCAGGACAGATGGGTCCGGCCATCTGGGGGCTTCCTTTCTAAGAGTCTGAGCACATCAGTGACTGATGTTGCCTTGACTCTGGATCCAGGGCCTCCCTCCCTGCCCCGGGTTTTAAATTCCTCTTAGGAAGAACAGCTGGTCACTGCAGGGTCATGTGACCCTTGAACACCTTATGAGCAGATTAGCATCACAGTACAGACTGTGTCCTTCATTGGAAAACTTGGGACCAGAGTGTTGTAGAGTTTGGATTTTTTTTTTCCAGATTTTAGAAATGTTTGCATGTACATAATGAGATATCTTGGGGATAAATGCAAACTTCATTTATGTTTCATATTAGTGTGTACACATGGCCTGAAGGTAATTTTATACAATGTTCTTACTAATTCTGTTGCATTCTGCAACCCATCGCAGGAGGTCAGGTGTGGAGTTTTCCACTTGTCGGGTCCATGATTCAAGAGTTTCAGATTTGGGGCTTGTGCTAAGGATGCTCAAGGTCTACAGAGGAACAAGCAGAGCAGTCAGATGCCTGGGCCCGAATCCTGACTCCCTCGCACACACCAGCAGTGTGAACACAGGCGGGTCCTTTGCTGCTTCCTGCCTCGGTTTCCTCATCTGTAAAAGGACAGGGATAGCAGTGCCGTCTTGCAGGGCTGTTTGAAGATTCGATGAGTGCTTGCGCATGGAGGCACATGGAGCCGCGTGGGGGCAGGAGTTGGCACCATCTTTGATCTGTACACATCTCTTGCAGCACTGGGCAGAGCCCCCCTGAAGGGACCTCAGGAGGACCTCGTGCAGGCTGGGGACATTCTGTCTTCTGAGTCGAGCTGCTCTGTCTAAGAAAATTCTTCCTACGTTTTGCCAAAAGTCGCCTCCCTGCAACTCCTCCTCGTGGGTCCTGGTTCTGTCAGAAGCAAATGTCAAACAACAGTCCTGAAGGAGAAGACCTGGGACATCAGTAGTCCCGATGGAACTGGGCTGGGTGACGGCATCTCCTGCAGCGGCCATCCCCGTGGCTCTTAGCCCCAGAGCCAGGCCCGGACTGAAGTCAAGGATCTTTCAGTGAAATTTGAAAAACCAAAAAGTTCTCAGTTCTTGGATGCTTCTATTAGCAAAGCATAAAACAGCTTCTTTCTCCACTCTTTCAGCCCAGAGCGTGCTGCCAGACTGGCAGGAGGCCAAGGGGAAAGGCACTCTCCTTGTGCAAAGATGACAGTCACACGGCTCTGGAGCCATGACCTCACCTCAGTTAATACGTGCTGTCCGGCCTGTAATCACTGAGCATCCAGGGAGTGGGCCAGCGAGGTAGCCACCCGCGTCAGGCCTCCTGTTTACAGAGCCTTTCTGGCGTCAGGTGTAAAATCATGACCCGCGAGTCCCCTTCCTGCCTCGCCTGGCAGCCCTTTGGAAGCTGGCGTGTGCGCTGTGACACAGGAGGAATGCACCCATCTTTTTTTAGATTGATAGCTTGGCTCTCTGATGACTCCTGTTAAAAACAACTTGTACACTTGAAGTTCACAGCATCAGAGTGGGGAACCTGCATCAGGTGCCTTCGGGCCGGGCAGGGGGAGTTTGGTCTCCGGAGTGTGGGCAAAAGAACGGTTGCATTATTTTTCTAAATCAGAGGTCATCTGGCAATATCAGTCACTATTTGGTTACTTTGTCCATCCAGCTGCTCATCCAAGAGGAAGCATACTTTGGGGCACTGTGGCCAGGCCTCTGCTGCCCTGGCTTCTGGGGCCGAGCACTGCTGTAGCTGAGGGTCCCATGGATCTCAGGCTCTTGCGAGTGCTCCAAGGACTTGGCCCCAGAAATGCCCCTCCCTGGGTCAAGAACCCACAGGTGTCTGCAGCCTCTGTCTTTCCCCGCCCAGGTGCCGTGTGCAGAAAGGCCTCGCTCCAGTCCTGGTGTGCCCCCCACCCTTTTCCCCTCAGGCATGCAGAAGCACTCTGCCAAGGCTGCCCCTGCCACTTTGCATGAGCCTCCCTTCCTCCCTCCCTCACCAAGGGACAGTCCGATGACAGCAGTCCTCCCTTCTTCAAGGGGGATGTATTTCAAGAGCCCAGACGATGCCTGAACCCGGGAATAGTACCAAACCCGGGACCTACTGTTTTTCCCCAGACGCTTAGACCCACAAGAGTTTAGGGCCGATTCCATCCTGACCAAACCCTACCCCATACGATGGCTACAGCGTTCGCAGCGTGAGGTGGGACAGCGACGGGGCGTGGGTTTCTTCCCCTTCTTCACCGCATCATGGACAGACAGACGCTCCTTCTTACCCACAGATCTTTGCAACTTCAGTTCATGGTTTGTTTCCTTCTTAAGTCAAGAACTTTCCCTTTTCCTCTCACAGGAAGCGCTTCATGGCCTATCTGACTGCCAGCGTCCCTGCTCTTGTGCTCAGGGGCCATGATTAAGTAAAATAAAGGCCGCCTGAACACAGGCACTGTGATCTGATAACAGGGATGGCTGGGAGGTGACTAAGGGCGGGTGAGGTCCTCGGTGCCAATGTCCAGGACGGTGTTCCTGGTGTGCGACTTGGGTGGATGGAGCCCAGTGCGATTTAAAATGTAGGCACTGCTTACTCCTGGAGTTTTTCCCTTCACATTTTAAGGATGAAGCAGGTCACTGAAAGCTCAGAAGGGAAATGGGGGAAGGGCCCAGAAAAGAGACCCCAGAACTCTCAAAATGGGGAGGCGCCCGTGGGAAAGGAAGCCGAGTGCTTCTCCCTGATGCGGGGCAGGACCACGGCCAGCCACACACCCGAGACACAGCCCGGGCTTCCCAAGCCCTGCCCTGGTGACCTGGTTTCATGTACATCACTGAATCCTGTCAGGTGCTCCAAGTCCAGGTTATCAGCCCATCTCTGGGTCCCAGGGTCAACCAAGGTCGCCTGAGCATCTCTTCTCAGCAGCAGGTTCTGAAGGCTCCATTCCCACAAAGTTGGTCAGCTGGGGACCAGCAGCTGCCATTCCTATTCCTCTATGTGCAGGGAGGGGTCAGGCATGAGACCCAGGCAGGGACAGCTTGGCCTCCATTCTTTAGAAAGAAAGCATTGTTTTTGATCCAGACAGATTTTATGTTTTCTGCATTTTAAATATTAGCTAGTGCTAGTCCCTCATCGCTTGACCTCAGGCATCAGGGCGGCCTTGTCCCCTGAGACCTCTTTTGTGAATCTGGGGACCTGCCTCCCAGGGCTGTCCTCCCCGGGCCTCTGGGACACAGAGGTATTGTGTTTTCTCTCCGGCTTCTCTGAACACTTCCTTGGTGGGCTATCCCCGGCCACCTCTCCTCCCTCCTCCCCACAGGTGGACCGGTCCCAAGGTTCTGGCCTTGGACCTCCTGCCTTGGGTCATAACTGCTCCCAGTTTACTGAGGGCATGAACTCCCTCCTGAATCAACAGAGGACACTGACTCACCAGCAGGGGACCTCCTGGGCAGCAGACCTCTCTACGGTGGAGTGGGTGGAGTGCCGTCTCTATGCCCACATCCCCCACAGAGCCAGGCACCTCTGACCTGTGCTGGCTGCACATCACCCAGCACCCCCCTCCCCGACTCCTGCCCAGCCCCCTTCTCCGTCTTGCTCCCAAGTCACAGGAAGCTCTAGAAGACACAGGCCTGCAGTCACAGGCTCTAGCCACTCACCTCTCACTCCTTCCTGGCAGAACTCCCAGCTCCTGCTGTGGGAGGTCTTTAGATGACCTCTGATTCCTTGTCCATCTTCCTTCTCAGGAACCCATGCGGAAGCCAGGGGAACAGGCCTCCTGAGCCGCTTTCCATTCTTGCCTCGTCTCAGGGGGAGGTCCCCCTTCTCTCCCCACAGGCCCTGCTGTCTGCCCTCCCAGGCCCTTGCCGACCGAGTGCCCTGAATCTCTCTGGCCTCACTTCCTCCCCTGCACAGGGGAGCTAATCGAACCAGTGTGGGCACTGGAGTAAAGATGAGGGGACACGGTGAAACGTGTCACCTAGAACCTCATGAAGTCAGTGCTCCCTCTCGGGAGGTGATGGTGATGGTGAGGATGGTGATGCCCAAAGTGGACTGTCCCTGAGATGGATCAACCTGAAGGTCTCCCCTTTGTCCCCACAAGGGGCCTCAGGTCCACCCACAGCTGGCTACACCAAGCCTGAGGCTTGACCTGTGCTCCCACACCTTCATACACCAGAGGTCAGGTCAGAGCACTGCCGTGTCCTGGTGTTGGTTCTTCTACCCATCCACAGTGTGCAGAATGAAAGGTGGCCTGTCCATCTCTAATGCTGTGTTGGACCCGTCACCCTTGCTCTGTGCCCTCCCACTGCTGAGAGGTTCCCCAATGCTCCTCCACCCTGAACTCCGCCATCCCACAGTGTCCTGCCAGTGTCTCCCACGTGCCAGGCACAGTACTAGATGCCCATGTAGGAGCCGTTTACCGAGCACTCACTGCGCGCCAGGCACTGTCTTGAGCACGTCTCCGAGTGGACTCATTAGCACATGCTCATTTACATGCATTTTGCATATATGGAAATTTCATCCTCCTAACAGATCTGTTTACTCCTCAGAAAACTCCTGAGAGGCAGCTGCCAGAGGATGGCCTTGTCACAGCCCAACTGAGAGGGTGAGGCTGCCCCGGGTGATCCCGCCCCGCAGTACAGAGGCCGCCGTGGTGGCCCCGATGCCCAGGCTCCGCAGCGGGCCACGCGCCGCATCCCTGGACACGGCTCTTACTGGCAGCACAGGAGCAGCTGGCGAGAAGGGTGTGGAGGAAGAGGCCGGCGGCTGCGGGAGGTGCCCAGAGGACTGCCCACTTCCGGAGGAGCAGGCGGGAGCCATGGTTACCTAAGGCAGGAGATAAGGAGGCCGGTTGCGCAAGGCGCAGGCGGAGGAGCTTCCCGTGACTCAACGCCCTGCCCTCCTGGATGAGGGCCCAGGGGAGAAGCCACCGGGGACGGAACTGGGATGCTCGGTGGAACTGGAACAGGGACTGGGATTGGGATTGGCCTTCGGGTGTCCAGGGCCCCGGTGCCTCGTCCACCCTCAGTGGTTCCCACAGAACCCGCACAAATGTGCGCTGGTGTGAGGGAGCCCAGGAGAGCGGGGCCTCTGGACCAGCACGGAGCTCCTGCTGGGTGGCAGCTTCGCGGTGAACTTGAAATTGCCCCTGATTAAAAGTTACCCCAGTACACACACGGCAGCAGCGCAAAGTGGAGACTCGGAACAATCTTTAAAAACAGGGTTCGCTAAGAGAGAGGGGAGTCGGGGAGAGATGGAAAGGAGAAGGGAGGGGAGGAGGGCTGCTGGCCCTTCTTGACCTCTCCCTGGAGTCCACCCTTCCTCTCCCACTTTGGCCTCTCATTTCTGGGTTGGTGACTGGCGCTAAGTCCGCCCTCCATGCCGGCCAAACTGTGGTTGGAACTGCGGGGCCTCCCAGCATGTCCTGCGCTTCAGTGACCCAGAGGCCTTTGCTCTCCCTTGCTGGCCACTGCCTGGAGTCCTCAGGAAGCCCAGTGCTGTCCCCGACCCTTCCCCTCCCTCCTTCCTCCAGCGTCCACTCTGCTGCCGCATCTGATTCCTTCTCCCTGGGACCTGCCCCTCTCCCGGCTTTTGTAGTTCCCACCCCCATCAGCTCATCCTGGGGTCTCTGCGGTGGCCTCCTGCCTGGCCACCTGTCCCCTGGCTGACTGGAGCCCCCTCCGTTCACAGACATGTTCCCACATGTGTCGCCATCCCCTTACTCCAGAGAGCTCCTGCCTGCCGTGTGTGTGTGTGTGTGTGTGTGTGTGTGTGTGTGTGTAGGACCAGCTGCTGCCCTCTGCAGCCTGGTCCTCTCTGACTCCTCGGCTGGAGCCACCCTCTTGCCTCAGCTTCCCAAGTGGCTGGGACCTCAGGTGTGGGCCACTGTCACTGGCTCCTGGTTTCCTCATAAAATACAAAACAGGGCTGGGGATGGGGCCCTGACTGTTGGGGGAAAGCCTTCTTTTGGGAGAGGATAAAACTGTTGTAAAATCGACTGTGATTAATGCAAACAACTACCAAAGTGTGTTTAAATTAAAACGTTAACAGTGTTGTCTTCGAGTGTGGGGGTCATCCTGAGTCTCCCCTTGTGGACCTCGTGCCATCTTTGGCAGCATACAAAAGGATACATTTATGTAATGCACATATGCATTTATATTACAATCTATATAATATTTGTCTGTTTCAGGACCGTTTTTAAAACCCCCTAAGTCTAAGGACTCTTTCAGGGTGTGCCCCCCACCCCCACCCCAGCCATGCCCACACCTAGCAGGCACATCAAAATGCACCCAGACTCCACCGTAACTCACTTCTCCTTCCTTCCGTGGAAAGACAGGAAACATCGTTGAGAATTTTGCTCTTGAAGTTATTAGGCTCCACACCACTCATGTATGATGGGCTGTCAGCATGCAAACTTGGGGATTTGTGCCGGGGGAGAAGCGGTCACCTGTAGATAGCCTTCCAAAGTGACGAGACTTTTATGGATTATAAATTGTAAACTAACAATGTTGACATAATGTTGCATTTTATAAATATTTAAATATTAATTTAAATTTTTTTTTAGGGTTTTGTTTGGTTTTCCGTGCCAGGGATCCAACCCAGGGCCTCAGGATGCTAGGCGAGGGCTCTACCACTGAGCTGCATCCCCAGCCCAAGTTTGTTGGTTTCTGTTTCAACGAGAGAAACTTGACTTCACACAGGTTCAGGGGCATCTGCCACCAAAGGCTGGTGTAAACGGCAGTTCTGGTTTAACCCTGCATCGGTGTACACATTTGAAACTGTGAAGCAATGATCCATTTCTGCTAAAATGTGGATTAAATCCATCCATTGGCCGATTTTGACATTTGTTGCAGACTTTATATTTGAGTCGTAGAGACTGAATTTTCTGTCTTCATCTTTCCTTTGGTGGTGCTGGGCATCTTACCAGGGCCTCGTGCACACTAGGCAAGCACTCTACCACTGAGCTGCAGCCCCGGCCTGAGGCTACATTTTTGTCACGAGGGGCAGGGCCGTGGGAATAACAAGATAGCTTCTACTAAGATAATGAGCTATGACATTTACTCCCCAGTATTTCTTTGGCAATACACATACTGGCTGCTCCATTAGTCAGCTTTCCATTACTGTAACAAAATACCTGAGATAATCAACTTATAAAAGGGCAGGTTTATTTTGGCTCACAGTTTTGGAGGGTTCTGTCCATGGTGGTTGGCCCTGTGGTTTCTGGGCCTGTGGTGATTTTTCAGTCTTTGTCGGCTGCGGGCTTGCTGGTCTCTTCTCACCTAAACCAACTAAACATCAGCACTTCCTGACTCTTCAAAGCCAATATCGTCTCCTACTTCTGTGCACGTGGGAGTTGCATGACACGAATCCGCCTGAACCATAAATGGAGCTCAACAAAACCAAACGCTGTCACATTCTTGAAAAAGTGATCAAAATAACCTTTTATCAACTGTCTTGTT